TTTGTTCTGCATAGATGCTGCTTTTCTAAGCTTCAGGTTGTTTAGTAATGTAGAGGTGTTCTGATGAATTTTAATTAATCATGTTCAATATGATAATGAATTTCACTAGTAACTCTTAAGGATCAGGATATCATTTATAAGTCATATTTTGACACCTGAGTGTAATAGTTATACTCATGACATCTTTGGTATATGCTTTTTATGGAGACCATGGCTAAAATATTTTGTTTTGTGTGGGAGAGCTGTCTCAGTGGTTATGGGCACTTGTTGCCACAAAGTGCCTAAGTTTGGTTCCTACCAACAGTGTCAGGCAGTTTACCCCAGCCTGTAAGTGCAGCATCCGGGAATAAATGCTCTTTACTGCCCTCCACAGACACTCCTTCACACAGACACCTACACAAAATTAAAATAAGCAAATAAATACATTGTGTTCATAAGTTCTCCAGGGAAAAATAAGTATGTAGAAAAAAACCAGTATTTAAAATTAAACAGCCAATTCTGTTTCACTGACTAGAATACTCTTGTCAGGAGTTTAAGCACTTCAATTTTTCCTGGAGTCAGTCATCAGTATCAGTGGACATCACAATTTTTTTTTTTGTCTCTGAGTACCCGCCTGATCAGTCCTACACTAGCTGACAGGTTGGAGCTCCCCTGCCTGAAAGGAGTCACGCAGCTGCAGGGGGAAGCAGAGGTTTAACTAGTGCCATTTGCTTTCTCCACTAAATACATTATAATCTGTGTTGCTTGTAAAATCTGAATTTGCTTTGATATCCCACTCTAGTTGCCAAATAAACACTAGCTCTTGAGCATATGTTATATAACAGCCACAAGCAGAGAGATGTATAAAAAAAATCATTTTGCAGTGTGTGTGGCAGTTTCTTGTTTGGTTATCCATGAGTAACTTTGCGTCTTAGAAGAGTTTTCTTGAAAGAACATGCAATGCAGAGATATGCAGAAATCTAAACTCCTACTTGAAGTGCTAGATCCCTTCTAAAATTCTTACCAAAGCCTGTTTGCATAATTTACATTTTGCTATTTCTAGAGAGCAAGAGACAGATGTTTGTATGTTTTATTTGCCTAGATAAAACACCAATGTGTTGGTAATATTTATGACTTTTAAAATCATTTTTACAACAAAGCAAGAGTACCAAGGTCATCATTTCATATTTCTAAATGGTTATTTATTGGTGTAATGATAAGATTAATCAAATTTTAGTCATGGTTCTTGATAAGTAGATGAAACTACCTCTTGACAAGATTCCTTATCTACTTTTAAAATTAGATGCTCATTCACCTTGTGCTACTAACATAGGGAAACTCCTTAACACAATCCATTTTTATCAATACTTAGAAGTGTTAGACAGAAATTAAAGACTGTGGTTAGTGATTTTTCACATCTATTCTAAATTTATTCTGACTTTTTAAACCATCAAAGCATCAGTGACTTGTCTGTCATCACTTGATACAACAGGCAGTCATGCTGTGAAATAAGAATCAAAATTTAAGTTAGACATAGGACAGAACTAAGGAAATATATCTTGTAAATCATTACTCATTTCTTATTAAACTACTGTGTTATCATCATACAGACTATTCATCTGTGTGTAGGTCTAAAAAGTTCCAATAATTGCATGAAGAGTTTCTGTACGGCTTTCAGGAAGTTTCATAGATCTCCCCATTAGCACCTCCTACAAGACTATATCTGTAGCTGGAGGGCTTCTCTCCAGGTTCCACCAAGCCCCGCAGTCCCACAATCCACGTATAAAATAATCGCTCAGATGCTTATAATATTTATAAACTGTATGGCCATGGCAGGCTTCTTGTTAACTGTTCTTTCATCTTAAATTAACCCATTTCTATAAATCTATACCTTGCCACATGGCTGGTGGCTTACCGGCATCTTTACATGCTGCTTGTCCTGGCAGTGGCTGCAGTGTCTCCCTCCTTCTTCCTTTTTCCCCAATTCTCCTCTCTCTTTTTCCCGCCTATATTTTTTGCCTGGTCACTGGCCATCAGTGTTTTATTTATATAGAGTGATATCCACAGCATATATCTCCTTATATGATCATGTATAATATACTATATATTTAAATTACTATTCTTGATTCTGCTGATTTTCAGTTTGATATAGAATAATTTGTGATGTTTTGACTACATCTCATTTCTAGAATGTGGTATTTTTTCAGGAGGGTTATCTCAGTATATTTTATTTTATTACATATTTGTCCTTTTATTTTATTTGTCACAGTTACTGGCATTATATAACTCATTAAATTCCTTTGTCTTTCAAAATCTTTATAGTTTTCTTGGTATTTCCTTAATGTTCCCTTTAATTGGAATCTTGTTTTGCTGAATTTTTCACAGTGGCAAGTTTGTATCAATTCTACAGTACTTCCTTAAAACTTACTTTGATTTTTTTCTGTTTTTCTAATTTGTAATTTGTTGTTTATGCTCTCATATGAATCATTTTCCTTTCTTTCTCTTACTTTTTGTCTTTTTTCCTTATCTAGATTTTTATATTTCATATTGCATTGATAACTTTCAACTCTCTTTTCTCTCTTAGGTATACAACCTACTCTGCTGTAGAAATCTATATGGACTATTTCTTTGAATCACATGATTTAAATTATGCTGTTTTTCTATAATCACCACATTATGATGCTATTGTCTTAAAGTGAGCTTTCCACCTCTTGATAGTCAGGGAGGCAATGGTGGTTTCTTGTCACTTAAAAAAAAATATCTGCACTATTCCTACATATTACAAAGATATTTTTGTTCTTAACCAGAAATGTATCATGTCTGTGTTTCTCCACTCATTTTATAGAGATTCAAGTTTCCAAGGTTAGACACAGCTTCCCTCCATTCTGAAGAGAATATCCAGCCTATCTTCTTCTTTTTTTTTTTTTGGTTTTGTTTGTTTGTTTGTTTGTTTGTTTGTTTTTTTCAAGACAGGGTTTTTCTGTGTAGCTTTGTGCCTTTCCTGGAACTCGCTTTGTAGACCAGGCTGGCCTCAAACCCACAGAGATCCGCCTGCCTCTGCCTCCTGAGTGCTGGGATTAAAGGTGTGTGCCACCACCGCCTGGCCCAGCCTATTTTCTTACAGCTACTTTTCTTTTTTCTTTTTTTTTTTTTTTACATTTTATGAAATCTTTATTGACAAATAATTCACATAGTATACAATTTGCTTGTTTGCACAATTTGATAGACTTTAGTCCAGCATCCTCATAGGCCCATGACACCATCACCACTTTCTATTTTAGAACATCACTGTCATCAATTTCATACACACATATAATGTATGGTGATTATATTCCACATTATTTTTTAAATGAACATAATATTTGTAATTGTAACCATTTTTAAGTTCAGAATTCAGTGGCATGAATTACATTCAAGATATTAATTACACTCATGATATTCATTAATTACACTCATGATATTAATTACATTTGTGGTATTCATTGATTACATTCACAGTATTTATCAATAACTATATTTATGATATTTATTAATTACACTAATTGTATTGATTTATTACATTCATGATATTATGTCCTGATACTACTGTCAGTTTGTGGGATTTTTCCATCACACAAAACAGAAACGCTGTACTTAGGAAATCATTGCTCTATATTCCTTTTTTCTCCATCTTGAGATAATGTCTAATCTTTCTGTCTCTATGAATTTGTATATTCTATATATTTCATGTAATAGAATTCTATAGTATTTTTCCTTTTTGTAAATGTAAAAATATTTTATGTACAACTGCAGGAGAAATAACAGATAGCTTGAACATAAAAACAGGTTATATGGGGCTGGAAAGATTGCTCAGTGGTTAAGGGCACTGACTGCTCTCCCAAAGGATAGGAGTTCAAATCCCAGCACCCACATGGCAGCTAACAACTGTCTATATCTCAAAGATCTGACCTTCAGGCAAAACACCAATGCACATAAAATAAAAGTAAATAAATTTAAAAAATTGGTGTATAGAAAAAAATACCAGGTTATAATTCAAAAGTCCAGAGTTATTTGAAACTGGAAAATATTTTCCCTGTAGAAATTAGTAAAAATGATAACATTTCCCAACAAGCCCTTTTTTGTTTCTTTCTCATATATATATATATATATATATATATATATATATATATATATATATATATATATATATTATGTGTGTGTGTGTGTGTGTGTGTGTGTGTGTGTGTGTGTGTAGCTAATCAAATATTTTATAATGTGTGGAGTTGGAAATTTTGTGCTAAATTTTCAGCTTCCTTACTTTTGAGAATAAGATCCTGTTTTTTTGTGGCGAGAATGTTAAAGCTCAATAATGTAAGGAAAGTTTGTAATAATGAATGGAATGAAAGCACTAATCTCCTTTAATTGTTTGTTACAAAGGAATCCAACAGTGAAAGCTTCACTCCTCCTTCTGCACTAGCTAGGAAGTGAATATGCTCACGTTTTGATCTCACTTGTGTAAAAAGTATTTTTCAGATTTCAGAACTTTCTTTTTCTGAATGCCCAGCTTTCCTGCTTTCCTGTCCCCTAGATCCAATTGCAAGCACAAATCTCTAGGTTTGTGGTTGCTGTCCTTTATATATATATATATATATATATATATATATATATATATATATATATATATATATATATATATATATGTTTGGCTGGTTGGTTGGGTTTCTTTGTTTTTTTTTTATTTTTTTAATTTTTTTTAACTTTTTAAAGTACCTTGGACATATTTTAAAATGTCCTTTAATTTACAGAATGATAGCACTCTTTTGACACCTTTTTTCTGTTTATCCTTAAATCCTGCAAAGAGTTACAGCATTCTGCCTCAGTGTCCACAACAGATTCTACTAGAGAAGTTATACTTAATAATCATTTGATATCTAAATCAATAAGACTGTTTCTCCATTTCCATCTACGTCACATATTCTAATATGGATATGAAATGTGCAATGATTGGATTTTAAACTATCCTTTATGTCTTTTTTTTGCAGGCTCTTAAACCTGATCTACAATGGAAAAATTCCTTTTTTACCTGTTTCTCATTGGCATAGCTGTGCGAGCTCAGATCTGTCCAAAGCGTTGTGTCTGTCAGATTTTGTCTCCTAATCTTGCAACTCTTTGTGCCAAGAAAGGGCTTCTGTTTGTTCCACCAAACATTGACAGAAGAACTGTGGAACTACGGTTGGCAGACAACTTTGTTACAAACATCAAGAGGAAAGATTTCGCCAATATGACCAGCTTGGTGGACCTGACTCTATCCAGGAATACAATAAGTTTTATTACACCCCATGCTTTTGCTGATCTACGAAATTTGAGAGCATTGCATTTGAATAGCAACCGATTGACTAAAATTACAAATGATATGTTCAGCGGGCTTTCCAATCTCCATCATTTGATATTGAACAACAATCAGCTGACTTTAATTTCTTCCACAGCATTCGACGATGTTTTTGCTCTGGAGGAGCTGGACCTGTCCTATAATAATCTAGAAACGATCCCCTGGGATGCTGTAGAGAAGATGGTGAGCTTGCACACTCTTAGTTTGGATCACAACATGATTGACAACATTCCTAAGGGAACTTTCTCCCACTTGCACAAGATGACTCGACTAGATGTAACATCGAATAAATTGCAAAAGCTGCCCCCTGACCCTCTCTTTCAGCGAGCCCAGGTACTGGCCACCTCAGGAATCATAAGTCCATCGACTTTTGCATTGAGTTTTGGTGGAAACCCCTTGCACTGCAATTGCGAGTTGTTGTGGCTGAGGCGATTGTCCAGAGAAGATGACCTCGAGACCTGTGCTTCTCCTCCACTTTTAACTGGCCGTTATTTTTGGTCAATTCCTGAGGAAGAGTTTTTGTGTGAGCCTCCTCTCATCACGCGTCATACACATGAGATGAGAGTCTTAGAGGGTCAAAGGGCAACGCTGAGGTGCAAAGCCAGAGGAGACCCTGAACCTGCTATTCACTGGATTTCTCCCGAAGGGAAACTTATTTCAAATGCAACAAGATCTCTGGTGTATGATAATGGAACACTTGACATCCTTATAACAACGGTAAAAGATACAGGTGCTTTTACCTGTATTGCTTCCAATCCTGCAGGGGAAGCAACACAAACCGTGGATCTTCATATAATTAAACTCCCTCACCTACTAAACAGTACCAATCATATCCACGAGCCTGATCCTGGTTCTTCAGATATCTCCACTTCTACTAAGTCAGGTTCAAATGCTAGCAGTAGCAATGGTGATACTAAAATGAGTCAAGACAAAATTGTGGTGGCAGAAGCAACTTCGTCAACAGCACTACTTAAATTTAATTTTCAAAGAAATATTCCAGGAATTCGTATGTTTCAAATCCAGTACAATGGTACTTATGATGACACCCTTGTTTACAGGTAAGAAAAATACAGCCATCTTGGACCTTTGCTGACCATTATAGTGCAGGGTTTGTAAAGCACTGTTGTTTTATTTTGTTTCTAAATTGACACCACTACTCTGTGCTGTAATTGTAGCTACCTGACTTTATACTGTATAATGTAATATATGAAGTGGTGAATACATATGGGGAAATATTTTGAGTGGCATTATTTTAAATAGCACACATGGGTATTTAATACTATGCTTATTTTTTAACCTCATATGAGGGATGTGACTATCAGACAACAAGACAGATTTAATTTAAAATTTCAAAAACATACCAGAATTTACACATCTACATGAGTGTTCTTTCCTTCAAGGAAGTCACGTTGGGAGGCTATCCCATTATCCCAATGATGCTGCCATTGCTCAAAGCAGTTTTGGAATTATCTTTAGAACCTTCGGCATACTATTTTGAATATCCTCAGTGGTGGCAAATCTTCGTCTTTTGAGGGTGAGTTTCAATTTTGGAAACAAGCCTTTTGGAGTCAAGTCTTGTCAATAAGGTGGGTGATCAAGATGAGTACTGCCACTTTCAATTAAAAAATTGGATGTAACTATAAAGTAATGAAACTGATTCTTTGAGTGATTGAGTTATGTGCGTGTGTGCTGTCTCATGTGCATGGGTTCTTAAGACACTTCCAAAGAGGACATACATTGTATTTTGAGCAGTGAAAGTATCACTGGAATTAAGTATGCAACTACTGGGACAGGACATCGATGGAGAACTTGTATCTGCTAATGAATTTCTGGTATGTTTTTCTAAAGTTCAGCCTCATTGATTTTTAGTCACATCTTGTCCAATTTTCTGTTGGAAATTCACATTTTTTATTCCATATAATTTTACCCATGACAGATTATTTTTACCTCTAGGAAATGATTTATAATCACAGTTTTTGAAAAAATTAACCTTTTTTTAGTTGCTATATAAAGAAGTTAAATTCTTGAAAATAATTTGCTTTCCTTTCATGTCTGAAAATGAAATTAATTTCTTAAAATAAGTGTGGACTAGTGGGAGAAAGGAAAAAAGTATCCTAGCTAGCTATGTAATCAATCCTGGACCAGGTTCTACCTGGTTGAGTTTTAATTTCCTCATCTTTAAAAAGAACGATTAGGCTAAGTGGTTTCTAATATCCCTCTCATCAGTAAATGGATGTGGTGGCACGCTATGACATATGAGCATTAGAGAAATGTAGTTTACTCCTGTGTCCCAGGCTCTCCACATGGCCCACAGATGATATTCAATCAGTGTTCCACGAGAGACTATGAATTCACCACACTTTCCTGTACTGACTATCCATTCTAAGTATTAACTCTGTGATAAGCTGCATTTTGCTTTCCAAATCCCAAAGTTGCATTCCTGTTCTGAGATATAAATTCTATGTCATTCTTAGAACCTTGGTGAATTCCTGAAAGCAGTGGTTGTCATCCCTACGATATTTACATCCCTTCCATTGTGTTTTATGAAGAATAAACATTGATGTGATTAAGGGCTTAGTGATATGCAACATTTAGAATACACCCTTTGAATGGCAGCAGTGATTTTGGTTACCAATACATGCTCTTGTAAGTTTCCTGGTACATTCAGAACACACTGTATAGCTTGTATTGCAGTTTAGTTTTTCCATGGTTTGATATTTCTATAACTCATTTTCAGGAGAAATTATAGTTTCACCCTTTACTTACAAACTGATTTTACTTTCTATTGTATTTGGTTACACCTCAGGAAAAAAGTTAGCAGCAGATAGGAATGCAGAAGTCTTCACGGTGGAATGGATCTAGAGATATCTCTAAATGTAAAAAAAAAAATGTTTCTTGTTGGAGATACTCATTAGAATATGGTGGTTGGGTGATTTCACATACTTAGCAACAGCTTTGCTTCATCATGTGTCCAGGTTATTACTCACACATGCACATCACACTCATTAAAACGTACTGGGAGCTAAGGCAAAAGAAATCACGATGTCTGTAAATAAAATATGCTCATCCTTGTAACAGAAGTTATTAAAGACAGCCTTAGTAGGTACCATTCCATAGCGGCTTATTACGATTTGGAAAGCAAATGCTCCGAATTGCTGTTCCATTCTGGTTGCTAATGTGATTGTCAGTGTTTTCTCTTTCTTCAAATTGCCTTTCAGTCATAGAGGTGTTGTAAGTGCTAAATGGATTTGTTTAGTAGTCAGATAATGTCACAGTCACACCTTTCAAAAGTAATTTGTCATAAATGATTTTTTAACAGTGGCTCTTATTAGGAGTACTGCTTTGCCAAGCAGTGTAATTAGTAAGCTTGTCAAGCCATGGTGCAGGCACCATTAATATAATGCAAACTGTAACAATGAGCTTTCAGCTATTCTAACTTGGTAAATATAACATCAGATCATCTTTCCATATTTCATATCTGCTATAAATGTGTTTATCTTCATGAGTACTGAAGGAGATAGAACTAAAGCCATAATGACTGTGTGTGTATATGTGTTTTGTTTTTAATAATAACACATTTTCCCTTGTCCCTCAGAATGATACCTCCTACAAGCAAAACGTTTCTGGTCAATAATCTGGCTTCTGGAACTATGTATGACTTGTGTGTGTTGGCCATATATGATGATGGCATCACTTCCCTCACTGCCACAAGAGTCGTGGGCTGCATCCAGTTTACTACGGAACAGGATTATGTCCGTTGCCACTTTATGCAGTCCCAGTTTTTGGGCGGAACCATGATTATTATCATTGGTGGAATCATTGTTGCATCTGTGTTGGTTTTCATCATCATACTAATGATCCGGTATAAGGTCTGTAACAATAACGGGCAGCACAAGGTCACCAAGGTTAGCAACGTTTATTCTCAAACTAATGGGGCTCAGATGCAAGGGTGCAGTGTCACACTGCCCCAGTCCATGTCCAAACAAGCCATGGGCCATGAAGAGAATGCTCAGTGCTGTAAAGTTGCCAGTGACAATGTGATTCAGTCTTCAGACACATGTTCGAGCCAGGACTCCTCCACCGCTACCTCTGCTTTGCCTCCTACCTGGACTTCAAGTGCGTCTGTGTCTCAAAAGCAGAAACGAAAGACTGGCACGAAGCCCAGTGCTGAGCCGCAGAGCGAAGCTGTCACAAATGTTGAGTCCCAGAACACTAACAGGAACAACTCAACTGCCTTGCAGTTAGCTAGCTGTGCTCCTGCTGCCGTCACAGAGGGGCCCACATCTCAAAGAGCACAAACCAAGCCAAGTAAGTTTCTCACAGTGCCTGTCGAGAGAGCTAGAGCCAGGCACGGGTCCTCTCTCAATGGAGAATTAAAGGAATGTTATCCCTATGGTAACTCACTGGAGTCACGTGAGCTGTCTCCTAAGAGAAGCATGTCTATGAATGGGATGCGGACTCACCCCTGCATTTCTGACGATTGTTACGGAGAAGTCACTATTTCAAATGTGGAGTATATATAAGAAAGCTTTTATGGAATCTGTTATTTCTCTTTGAAAAAAATTACAGCGAAAATTCACAGAGTAAATTGAAATTTGAAATTCTTGTCTGGTCTTTGATACTTGGACTTGAGAATTTTTAAGTAGAAGCAAGGAAGAGAGAGGGAATATAGGACCTTCGTACACGTGCCTGAAGGTCGCATGCATAAAACGGCAAGAGTGGTGGGCGCTTAGAGAGAGTGAAGCAATGCCTTCTCCTACCCCAGGGCTAAATTCAGGCCCGTGACAGCAAATCCTATTTAAAAAGTGGTTACTGGGACAAGAAATGTCTCAGCCTGTAAAGGCCTCAAGCCTGCCTCTCCTGACCAGTTAGTAAAGGGAACCCAGAAGTGGCAGGAGAGGACCGACTTCTTTAAGTTGTCCTCAGACAGCCATGCTAGTACGCCACCCCACCCCGCCCCACCCCACCCCGCCCCACTCCACCCCGCCCCCCTCCCGCATCCACATAAAATAAAAAACACATTTTTTAATGTGAAATGTTATCACAGGAAATGCCTTACATAAAAATTAGATTTCTTGTCATTTAAAGAGAGGTCTGTTTATAAATAACTGACATTTTTAAATGAAGGCCCTGAATGGCTTTCAGTGGCAACTGTGTTGTAAAGAACAGCTCAATGGTTAAAGCTGTTGTTCAAATTAAGAATGCTAAAGTAAGTAAACTTCTAAACAACAGTCTTGATTTGGGGCTAACATTGTTCTAAGCTACTTCTCATTCCTAACCCAGATTTTTTTCAGTGGAAAAGTAATAAAACGAATTCATTTCACATTTATCATATACACTAATCCATAGAAATATAAAGATCATCACATTTATTCCCCACACAACTATTGAATGAATGTGTTTTATATTTTCCTAATACAAGTTAAAGAATCAGAAAAAAAATATAATTCAGCTTTTACAACCAGGTGTTTGCCTTTGGCACCAAGTGAAATCAAAACGTCTAAAGGAGGACTGATCACATTAACAAATGATAGAGAACCATTCCTCTTTTCCCTTCTTTGCTATAATTCTGCTCCAGAACTTTTGTCTCTTAAAGTAAATGCATTTTTTCAAACCAAAGACTGTGGTAAATGTAATCATAACTCATTCAGCATAGTGGGCATGCATTATTTTAAAGAATATAAAAAAATCAGTCAAATGTTTCCTTGGAAAAACATTCTTGGAGATTCGGTGGAGTCATGACTCATCTATATTTAACTCTGTGGTGTTGTTAAGAAATGATATACATGGCTTTGTTTTGTTTTTCCTTCTAGTTTTATTTTCATTTTGTTGTGAGGCTATGTCTTCTGTCAAAACTTAGACCCTTTACTTGGCCTTTACATCGAACATAACACGTTAGCCATACTATATGTGAGTACTTCATATATGATAAGGAATCATGGGGAGTGAGTTTAATGTGAAATTAGATGTTATTGTTTGTGGGGTTTTGTTTTCTTTTTGCTGTTTGTTTGTTTTCACATGACACAGGGTGTCATGTATCCCATGCTGACTCCAAACCCACTGTGTAATAAAGAATACCTTGAAGGTTTCCCCATACTCTTTGCTCCACTGCCCAGGTGGTAGGATTGGTTTTGCCCATCACATCTAGCTCAAAATGATAGCATACTAACTCACATCACTCAAACATTATTTAAAGCTAAATTCAGACTTTCAAATCATTAGCTGGCTTTTTTTTTGCCTCTGTGTACATGCAAAATGTTAATTTTAATTTATTAATTTTAAATTACATGTACATTTTCTTTGATGCTATTAAATGGGAAGTCACAAAGAAGCAGTTGGAGATGATTTTGGTTCCAGTCCTGATAATTTTTCTTTTGAGATTGCTCAGTGGGCTTACTTATGCTTTCTAAATCACATCTGTCCTCCTTGATTCTTTTTTGAGATTTTTGCTTTTCACTAAACAAAGCCTAATCCTCCTCCACTGTTCCTGTAGATAGCTCTTTGAGGCACATATAAGGTTGCCTATGTGGTCTTAGTTCATAAAAGCAAAGCACCTCTCAAAGCAGAGTGACTTTTGGCACTGTTACATTAGTAACATCTAATTCCAACTATGTATTTTGAATTTACACTGGTCACATTATTTCTAGTGAGGTTTTGATTGACAACAGCATGCTAATAATCTTCCCATTCTCAGGTTTGCCAACATCATACTAAACTCTTGAATGGGCAAAAGTTTCCTAGTCATTGTGAGAAAGTGGTTTCTGGAGGACAAAAAGACCTTAAAATTATACAAGACAAAGCAGGCAGCCCTACATGCCTGCTCTAAACTACCGAGAAACATAAATGTTACAATTTCTTTCGTTTTCAAAATGATCAACTTGCTTATGCTTCTCCTGGAACCTTGACTGGGAATATTTCATTTCTCATAGACATTTTAAAATATGTGGCAAAAGCATATGAATTTTATTTTGACTAAAGTCATTAAATAATTAAGATTTTAGTATTTTCATGAGATTTTTAAGGGTATATATGCTTGGACAGTTGTTTCTTTTTTTTTTCCTTTTATTTTATTTTACAATACCATTCAGTTCTACATATCAGCCACGGATTCCCTTGTTCTCCCCCCTCCTGCCCCCTTCCCTTCCCCCCAGCCCACCGCCCATTCCCATCTCCTCCAGGGCAAAGCCTCCCCCGAGGAGGACTGAGATCAACCTGGCAGACTCAGTCCAGGCAGGTCCAGTCCCCTCCTCCCAGATTGAGCCAAGCAACCCTGCATAAGCCCCAGGTTTCAAACAGCCAACTCATGCAATGAGCACAGGACCAGGTCCCACTGCCTTGATGCCTTCCAAACAGATCAAGCCAATCAACTGTCTCACCTATTCAGAGGGCCTGATCTAGTTGGGGACCCTCAGCCATTGGTTCATAGTTCATGTGTTTCCATTCGTTTGGCTATTTGTCCCTGTGCTTTATCCAACCTTGGTTTCAACAATTCTCACTCATATAAACCCTCCTCTTTCTTGCAAATTAGACTCCCGATGGCCAAACACCCTAATTGTCGTGCCAGAAACCCCATCCAAGGACTGAGGGCAGTTGTTTCTTAAACATAAATATCTAAGCCTGTGTTTTAGTTTTTGTAAAAGTTTATATTTTGAAAAATCAACAAAAGACTAGGCTACCAAGAAAGTTATCTGGTCTTCATGTGCATTCATATGATGGCAGTTTTGCTTATGGAGATAATTAATGTTATTTATTATGACTGACACAGCATAGATGCTTAGTTGACTGAGTAAATTGATAGATAAATACACGAGTAGCTCTAGAGATGAAGGGATTATTATTACCATAAACAACAGTTTCAACTAATTAGCATCATGAAAATTGTGGTTCAGAAATTATGTTACCACAGCAGTCAGAGATGCTGTGTTCTTGTTTTCTCATTTTGCCATATAGTACATTGTTTACCTAACCTACCATGTGTATTGAACATGCCATTTCCTTTTTCATGTTTCTGACTACAAGCAAAATGGATCCATTAGTTTTACTTCTTTTTTCTTAATTATTTAGCTTTCATTTTAGCCATGTAACATTATCAGCTTGTGACATGCAAAGAACAAACATATGCTCTCTTAGTTATTAGAGTCTTTAAAAAATATTTACTCTGCATATTTAGACAAAGCATTATGTATCCATCTCTAAACTGTTTTGATTCTTTTTGGATAATTTTCTTTGATTTAGAAATATAAAACCATAATTTAAGTGGTGTCATGGAGGGAGAATACAGCCTTCAGAGTTTCCTCAGTGCTCTGGGGAATAACAGCTTTGATGACTGTTGTATTTGGAACCTCCAAATTGATTAATACATAAATCAGTTTTGTAAAACAGTTTAAATTAGATACAGGAACAAGTAACCCTGACACTATCCAGTTTATTTGCTATAGACTTTTCCCCCAAATTCAAGGAGTCAAAAAAGGTCTCACTAGCTAATACATTGAAGCAATTGATTTTACCTACTTTTAATATATAGTTTGACTAATTTTAGGATATAATTTTGAAGTACCCAGTGTTATTCATTGACACAGAAATATATTAAGTAAAATATTTGTATTGTCTCTGAAATAAGTCATTTTCAAAACTTCAATGCAATTCATTTCCCCCCTTTTGGGTGAAATATTTTCACTTCAGTATTTAGCTTTCTGTCAACATTATTTCAATGTATTTGCTTTGACTGCAGAAACGTAACTTTTACTTACAAATTAAAGCAAATAATCAGAAAATCTATTAATTGCCACCTGTTTCTTAACTTTTAGTATTCCCTGTCTGCTTATGTTCATGTATAAACTTAAGAAAACTCTCTTTAAAATGCAAATACTTAAAATGTCTGCAGAAATAAAATGCACCATAGGTATCTAGTAATTGTAACCTGTACTCATTTCAAAGAAGACAGCAAATAAGAGTTTGCTGTTTCCTTGGCCTCGATGATTTATGACTGTAGTTATAAGCTAGTAAAGCATGGCTATTTAACCTAGATGGAGTGAGGATCATTCTTTCGCATCCTCAGTCTACTTTTGTCATGAGAGCAGCCCTTAGCATTGAGTGCTGCTATGTGAGCCTGAGGAATGTTTGGGGAAAACTGTGGGAGCTGTGGGTTGGATAGGAAAGAACCGTGCTTTTTTTCTTAGGTTGCTGATAGTTCTGTTACAGGAATAATAATAATAATAGTAATAATAATAATAATAAATAACAATAATAATAATTAAATAATAATTATTATATACTGTATAGTGAAAGTGGCAAATGATATTGAATGCCTTTTAAGAGTATGAAATATATCTTTAAGGGCCTGGAGAGACAGTTTAGTGCTTAAAGTTCTTGCAGAGAAGCTGTGTTCAGTTCCTAGAACCCACACGGTGATTTACAACCTTCTGTAAATTAACTTCAGTTATGAGGACTCAATGTCTCTTCTGATTTCTTCAGTGCTCTACATGCATATGACGCATATTCTTTCACTCATGTGCATGCATATACACATAAAGAAAAACCATTTTAAAGGAAAAGTACTCTCATAAAAAATGTATAGAGGAGAGAGAAAAAGGAATCAAAGTCAACAAAATTTTTATATGATTTTCAAAGTCCAGCCTTCAAAATTACTCAGTTTTAGACACAAAAACAAAGTAAACAAACAAGGAAGGTCATTCAGCAGTGATATTATAAGCACTATGAGTTTTGTATTTCTTTTCATTGTTTTCCAGAAGAAATGGCTGCTTTTTAGCAGAGAAAATGTCAACACAAAATGAAAAGTATGAATAGTATGTTCCTGTGTCTCAGCTATCCTAGCAATACAGTGTCAACACAATTGGGAAAGAAGTTAACAATTTATAACTGGAAATGTATCAAAGTATTAAATTCTCCCATTGTGGTTACATAAATAAATACATTTAAAACTTTATTAAAATTTGCAGCTTGTAATTATAATAAAGAAATTGGTGAGTTTGTTCTGGTTTTATTCACCTGTTTCAATGTCAATATTTAAGAGGTAAAGTAAATACTGAATATGCATGCACGTTATTTATACAGGTCTAATTATGGATAGATATACTTCTTTACATACACTGAATTGTAGAAGAAATTACCTAAAATAATATTTTTCATGTAATGCAAATTAATAGCTTTTCAATTACTTATACATAATGAGATGTCAAAGGACTATCACAGAAATGTTCCTAAATTATATCTACCATTTTTAAAACTACAGTCAAATGCACACTTTCTAATACATATTGTCATTTTGAACTTTCTAATTATGTCCAATTTACATCCTCATTTAATCTTCTCAAAGTGGGAAATCTATGCTCACAAATGTCAAAACCAAAAAAAAAAAAAAAAAAAAAAAAAAAAAAAAAAAAAACATTCCTTCTAATATGTTCCAGAGAAAGCCATGAACCTTTTGTTGTTTTAAATGTACTTGTTTTGTGGTGTGGTTACACACTATCTAATTTGACACATAATTCTTTCAGTTAATGTAATTCTGCTTTACATCATACTAAGTAAGTAAATATTTGAATATTTGAATAAATTATAGGAATTATGAAATATATTTTGCCTCTACTATAATCAAATTCCCTAATCATTTTTCTCTCTGTAACATTTTTAATTAAAAATTTTAATCTTCAGGGGTTATTGTATGTTGAAATAAATATTTGTGCTCAAAGATTTTATATATATATACATATATAAAAAGAAATTAATTTTTATTTTTTCTAACATATTTTATAAAATCTGATAACTATCCATATAGATCTTTAACACTTTTCATTCCAAAATAATTTATAGTCTTTTCATATGAACACATTCTCCAAAGAAATAGAATATGTCCAACCAGGATTGTGTTATGATATTGAACATTTACAGTCAAATGGTATATATGGATGGATTTGTATGTAGTATCTTATTCTTACTCTTTTACTTAGAAATGGATGACATGAGTTGTTGAAGACTAGATATTAACTGATGCTTAATACTGTGTTTACATATGTGTGGTAAGTATGGATGAGTTCTATTTCCAACTTTGAACTCTGTGGTTTCCATGTTTTCACAGACAGTTCTGCATTTGAAATGCTTATTCTGGAATGAACAGAAATAGAAATCCAACTGTCTCATTGAACTGCATTGATCCTACACTAAGAGATATTTTTATATACTAGAAATATGTATTTTAAAATTTATTGTTATAGCATTAAATATATGATATAGCTATGGGAAAGTGTAAAAATAAAAAAGCTAATTGCTACCATGCAAGTGATTGTTCAGCTCAGTAAACAAAGTGAATAGAGTATTAGGACCGGATCTTAAGGGAGAAAACAAGTAAAGAACTGTTCATAACATTGAAAATCTCATTCCCAGATGCTTTGCTGACTAATGTTGACCAGAATGTCCAGGAAACACAGGTGAGAAGCTTATTCATTGCTATTTACATCAAAAACCAGAGAGATTTGCTATTGTATACATGAGATTTCTGATTATTGATGTGTTAGTTCCCGGTTTTGAGATTGTCCCTTAAGTGAAGTGCTTAGCAGTATAAACTGAAGCATGATTGAGTTCAGTGAATCAGCAAAACGTGTCTGGATCTACTCCCGATGAACAGAAATGTTGTTGGGTTGAAATGTAGTTCTTATTGTGCTGTTAGTGTGATCCTGAAGCAGTTATCATGGTCTCTCCAGATTTAAATCACTTTAAGAACTATTTCTGTGCACACGGATATCTTTGTCTGGATATACTGATCTGTGGATGACATGTCTGACTCCTGCCTGACACCCATCTTTGTAAGGACATACCCAGCCATGCCTCTCATCCCTGTCCTACTCGGGGTTGAGATGATACATTTTTTGCCTTGCTGAAAAAGATGAAGGTTTTCACTGATATGTAAAATGAATGAAACCATTTTAAAGGGAAGCGATTTATTGCACATGTCTTATCAGTGGCATTATTTTTATCAGCCACCAATTACTCTTCTTGAGAGCCCCCCCTTTTTTCTCAAATGAGAATTTGATTCCTACATTTTAATTGGGTCACAAAATGTGTGTCCAGAATGGAGGCTCACTGAAGCAATCTGTTCTAACATCTGGAACTGTCAGCCATTTGCTGTGGTTTGGAAAAGTGGGGGAATCTGTTTTTAAAAAAAATTGAAAATAGCAACAACAACAAAAACTACATGCTCTCCTTGTCGAAGGTATATTTTTGCCCCTTGTAGCATGATATATATTAAAACAGTATTAATTTTCTCAATATGTCATAGTTTCCCCTAGTAAATTCCATCGCTAAACCAAAGCAAACATTTTCATGCATCGCTTCTTCCCTTGCCCTATTATTGAGTGTCTTAAATAACAGGTGGTAGAAACCAAGATCAGCAAGTCTGGGTGCCACGGACGGAGCCGCCTGCAGAGGGCGCCTTGCCTCGGTTTCAGTTTAATTTCCCAGGCTCTCATTTCCTGGAAAGGAGAACGCCTTTCCTCCAGTCCCCTCTCCTTTCTTCTCTATTCTCCCCTTGCTCTATTTATCTTCTTGTGTTTCTCGTACTTTTAAAAGTTCATTTATTATTGGGGTTTGGGCACCCAGCTGACCTAAACATTAAAGTAGCTTCAATGAGAAATTAGGTGCAGGGTTAGTGCTCTGTGGAAAACATTTCAAACTGATGCTCAGTGTGCTGCTACAGACAGAAGCAGAAGAGTGGACACTCAAGACGTATTAAAATTGCCATGTACAAGTTCCAATCACATGAAAATGGCATTACTTATCATCGTGGATGTTTTGTTTCTTTTAGAAGTAAACTTTGGAAGCTAGTCTTTGTCCTTACTCTGGAGAATCTTTGTCCTGCTTCAGAAAATAAAATTTTGTCATTGTGATAGTTTCAAAAAAACTGTTAACAACGACTTTTCATCACAAGGAATTTAGTGTTCTTTATAGAAATTTTGAACATGTGATGAAAACAAAATGTCAGCGACTATCTACCACCAATATGTATATTATAATAATCCAGAATATCATGTAGTTATTTCTGTCTTTCACTAGGAAATTTCTGTGTGGGGCTATGTTTTGCATTTGAGCAAGGAGAAAATGATGGGATATATCAGACTTTAAAATTCTTGATAATACATTTTTCTTTAATATTTTTAAGAAATAAAACTAATACCTTAATGTAGCAGGAATATTTCATTTTCAATTTTCCTATGCTGCCTTTTCTATAATCCTTACCAAGAAATTCCACATGCAAAAAAGAAAAGAAAAACGTGTAAAACATCAGTGTCAAAATCTCTATCCAGTTCTCTTTCCAATTATAGTTGTGTGCATTTTTGAAGTGGCTCTATGTCCTCACTATGGTATTCTTGGAATGTTTAAGTTATTTTGGTTATTTTTTTAGGTCTTTGATTCCCACAGTGGTCAGCAGAATCAAGTGTGATGCCTTTCTGAACAGGCTGTGTCCTCTCACACACACTCTCTCTCACAGTCCCTTTCTGAATGCTCTATTGTATGTATCTGAAGGACCCCAGAGTAGATAGTAGCCTTTGAGCACAGAGTCACAGCTAGGAGCAGTCTCAGGGCTGCCACACTGAGGCACCTGCTTAAGGGAAACTTTATCATACACAGAATATTTGAAACAGTCTTTGTATTCCCCAAAATGCCCTGTTCTGTTTTCTGTCCTTAAGGACCCTCCTGACTAAATGTGGAAATACAGGAAGCATAATAATAATAATGATAATAATAATAATAATAATAATAATAAAAATAATAATAAAATGAATTACATAAATTGGGTAATAAGATTATAAGGATATAAATACAGAAAACAGACTCAAGGACAAAGGAATGCGAAGTCATTCATAAGTTTTATTATTATAACGAGGACAATTGAGGGAATTAGCAAAGACTTGTAGCCTTAAAAGTAGCCCAGTAACACTGAGGATGACTAAGGTTAACATGTAAAAAAAGGAACATTGTATATAGAAGTGAGGGGAATATTGTGCATTGATGCTGCAATGTGTGAGTGACAGCTTGAAGAAAGACTTGTGTGCTCAAAACAAAACAAAAAAATACTTTTTTTGTGTTTGTGTATTCATATACTCAAAGGAAGTGTGGCATAGTCTTTACTAGATTAGAGCAGCCTTAAAATAATTGTTTCATTTTTAATTAAATTTGACCTATGTTATTATATTTTATTATCAAATAAGTTATTTTTAAAATTTAGATTTTTGATATAACTTCTCTAGTAGTAGACTTTAACCATGAAGTGATTACCCTAGTAATTTTTTCAGGTTTTCGGTATAAAGGGTCTAAAACATAAATAAGTTGGATGATTAGATATAGAACTACCCTTAGTTATAACCAAACTATGAAAAAAAAAAGATTTTAACGTCTGAGTGTGTGCCCCTATGTGTAGTTGGAGTTTTCTCCAGTCCCACTTAGACCCACAGCCACTGAGACCCAAATAAACACACAGATGCTTATATTAGTAGCTCAAGCCTGTAGGCTGTGGCTAACTTGAGAGACAACTAGGAAGCTTTTTTAGCTTTATTTTAGATTTTTTTTAAGCTTTGTCAGGTTTTAGGTGAAAACTCTAGCCGTTGGGTGCTATTTGTTGCTGGAGTTATCTCCAGTCCCTCCCAGGGCTGCAGACCACTTATGAAATAATTACTCAGGAGCTTATAGTAATTAAACTGCTTGGCCATTAACTCAGGTCTACCACTGACTAGCTCTTACAATTAAACTCAGCTCATTTTTGTTAATCTATATGTTGTCACATGTTCTGTGGCTTTACCTGTTGCATTTACATGTTGTTCCCTGGACGGCAGGCTGGTGTTTCCTGACTCAGCCTTCCACTTTCCATAATTCACCTTGTCTGCTTATCCCACCTACACTCTACTTCCTGCCTGGCTACTGGCCAATCAGCCTTTTTATTGATCAATCAATCAGGGCAACACATTCACAGCATCCCCAGAACCTATGCATTTCATTTCAGGTAAAATAAGGAATACTTTACCTGCAGTCAGCTGTTTCTTTAAGTGAGAAGAATCAGTGCAAAGTTTGGGCTCTGAATAGCTTTTGTTTCCTATGCAAGCTCGCTTAAAGTGTGTGTGTGTGTGTGTGTGTGTGTGTGTGTGTGTGTGTGTGTGTGTGTGTGTGGTCTTTTATTTGCTTGTTTGTATTTTGTAATGAATACAGTAAATAATCACACACTACATATGTAGACAGTATTTAGCTTATTTTTATCATGAGCTACCTTTATGTTATTTGGAAACATTTGAGCAGAAGAAAAAAAAAAATAACAGAACTCCAAGGTCTAGAGATTACCTTTAAGAATCACCTCCTTTGCTTAGAGGGCATAACTGCTCTAAAGAAATTATTCCATATCTCTTGATGACCCTCAGAATAAAGACACTGATATAGAAATTTTGGAAAACCCACTGAAATTCCCTTTCTGTTGGAGTAGATGGCATGTTCTCTTTACATTTTTGCATTGTTAAGACAAGTAGCTGTCCCTAAGTGTTCTGCATTACATCCTCTCTTTGTTACGTTTTCCCCATTACCTGATTATATTGACCACATAATTTGAATCTTTTAGTTAGTAGACAATCTATTTTTTTCTTCTTGACATACTGAGATTTTTCTTTTATTAAATCTATGTAACTTGAAATTTGGTATAATTTTATCTTATTTTTTCTAAAAGGAGATATATTACTAAAATATGAACAGAAACAATGATTTTGTTATTCATTTTCACCAATATTAACAATACTATGAACCTGAGCAGTTATAAGTAATAGATATAACATTTTAAAGAGCTTTTAGCATTGGTTTATGTTAGGTAAAATACATAACATAGTAATATCTGAATTTAGTAAGACTCTCAGGTAATTACAATTATTACTGTTTCATAAGTAGGATATCTACTGGTCCTTTAACTATCTTTAGTCATTGAATACATCACTTTATGCATATTTAGGCATTAATTTGTATCAAATCAGGATAAAATATTTACACTTCAGTATAGACAGATTCTCACTCCTCATAGATTTTAGAAGATGTTTAAAAATTCTACAGTTAACAAATATTTGTGATGAATATTTTTCAAGTACCTGAGTCTGAAAGATTTTTTTCCTTTGCATAAAAGACCAACAAACTTACAAGTGTCTATGTATTGATTTTAAATACAGGACTGAAATGTACCACGCACAGTATGACAACCTAGAAGTTATTTGTGTCCCCAAACAATCCACATCTGTAGATGATTAAGTATTTTTGAAATATTTTGTTTATGTTTACTTAAGTGTTTGAAAATTACATGAGTACGTCACAGTAATCCTCGCCTGTGCTCCCTTATCACCTCCCAATCTTGATGATCTGAACAATGCCCTTTTTTCCTCCTCTCCCCCCTCTTTCCTTCATGTTTGTACCCATTGAATTTGTTTCGGCTTGCTTACATAAACACAAGAAGGAGTTTAACTGAAATATGGGAAACTCTTCAGCTGCTAAAACACGACAGAATATGACAAAATGCCTCCCCACAGGGAAACATTAAATGTTAACAGCTTCTCAGGGAAGGGTGGGGCCTCATGAGCACCACCACAATCCATGGGAAAATGTTGAGTAGCTCAATCTTAGTCAGACCTTAGGCCAGCTAGTATATGCAGTTGCTATGAGTTTAAATAGTGCTACATGAAATATACTCTTAAATGAGTCACTTAACAGTATTTATTTTTATTGCAGTCATGAAAATAAGTTTAATAACTTTACCAGATAAAGTTATCTCAATATGTTATATTGTAATTTAGTATAGGATACTCAGTAAACAAAAAAAAAATTCTATGTATTACATTTGTGCTTTTCATTTTAAAACCCTTAAATCGAAACTTTTAAAGATTAATGTTAATGAAGTAAAAAATCATTTTAATTTATGTACTTGAAAACGTATACTTCTTTAACATTTCCCTTCTTTGCTTCAAAAAGAATTGCAAAATTGCATTACATGTGTGTGTTTGTGTGTGTGTGTGTGTGTGTGTGTGTGTGTGTGTGTGTGTGTGTGTATGATTGTATATGTGCTATGAGTCAAGATTTTCCTGTGGAGGTCAGAGGACAACTTGCAAGAGTCAATCACCCTTAACCATATGGATTCTGAGGACGAAAGTCAAGTCATCAGGCTGTTGGCTAGCATCTTTAATTGATGAGCTATATCCCTGCCCCCTTTTTCTTTGTCAAGACTGAAATTTATAGAAATACCCTAAATCCATGAGACCTGTGAAGCCATACTGGAGGAAATTATAATCACAGTTTTAGTGTTTTTAAGAACTAACTGATTTTATACAGTTTTGTTCCAATTCATTTTTAAATTAAAAAAGTAGTGTCTTCTTTGTAAATTATATTCACACTTACTTTATTTGCTTTGTGAGTGAAGAACTATTCAGTGAAAATGAACAATATTCTTCATTATCATTAAGGGTACAACAAAAATCTTATGAAATTTTGATACGAAACTCTCTGCTTAATATAAAGCATAGGGATCACTTAAGTTTTAGAAATACTGAACAAATAAAATCAAAGATGCCCATTATTAAAAAGAGCAGCAGAGACATATGTTATAACAAATGGCATGGATCAAGGAATATAATCTTTTAATTTTTACCTGGAGAGTGTGGGGAAAAATAAAGAAAGAGTCAATTTGAGTCTACAATTAAGCTTTTACTCAAATAAATATGGAGTCATTATGCACTTAGATTTGCTTTTGAAATGGGTGGTTATTATTACAGTTTTGCTAACTTTTAAATTATAAGGTCGTATCTTCTATATTGATATGGGTGTCTGTGTCTGTCCTGCACAGTGAGTTAGGAGTCTTCTGCCTGGATTTTGCAACTCAGCAACCTTAGATTTTTGTACCATGATCTTACTTGTTTTGTGTTTTCTTTCTTTTTCTTTCTTTGATTGCAGAGGCTGGAGTCGATATGAAGAGCACCGCTTCTCTCTCTCTCGAAAACAGTTGTCCCTGATATTTTTTACTGGATAAAATTTGAAAATGTTTCAGTTCACAATGGCAGATTGTTGAACTGCTGTCCATGAAGGATTTGCTCATGGGAGCCAAAGTGACGACATCTCTGATGCGGTGGAACTGGCTCTCTCACACCATGATTCATCCCCTTTTAAAACCAAATTTTTTTCTTCTGATCTACAAATATTTTTTTTAAGAAAGGAAAGAGAACAAAGCCTTCATTGGCATCAAGTTCTGTATCAATCCATCCTACATTGCCATCCATGATTTAACAGACTGTAGAATCTTGAATAATCTATATCACTTTAACAAATAAATGTTTTACTATGACACAATTTGCACATTGCCTTATTTTTGGAAAAAACCTTTTGCTTCAAGCCTGAATGGTGGTGGTGTGATTTTTGTAATAAATAGTATGTTTTAATAATAAATTTATTTTATACATAAGAGGTGAAAATCTTCAGGAATCCTAAGTTGCTTAATAATAGTAGAACAAATTTTTCTTTAGGGTGTACACATGTCTAAGATGAGGCAGCAAAACTATCTGAACTCACTTATAGCAGCTGCATGTTTTGTGTAAGACACAGTGATGAGGCTTCTCCTAATAGACCTTCAGAAAATGAGAATAATGAGGAAATTACTAATAGTATAATGTAGCCTTGGCTTTCCCAGAGAACCATAAAAATAAGAAAATTGTTCAGATGTTATGTGTCATGCTCAGGGTCTCTTTTTCCATTTTTTTTTCAGAATTTCAGACTAAATAAAAAAGAGTATACATCTGCATTAACACCAGAATATGTAGAAATGAGACCTCTTTGATGTTTACAAATATGAATAAAGCTACACTCAGATAGTATCCAACCTTAACCTATTAGAGTTTACCTTGGACTGAAGCATCAGGAGCAATTTCTGTTCTTCATCTTCTAAAACTGTCGTAAATATTTGAGTAAAATTTGAAAATGCACATAAACTGTCTTAGTTCTTGGTATTATGAACTATTTAATGAACTGTAAGTAGTATTTCCTTTTACTATATGAACCCGGGGTTTTCCAATGCTGGCAGATTTTATTTGTATTCCTTAACATCCTGGTAGTTCCATTAAAAACAGGAGCCTGATAAACTAGTCAAGAACACTTGCACAACACTTAGCAAACATGCTGAATGTGTGATTGAAATGGAAGTCACTTGGTTGAGTTGAGGTTTTCGTGGTGATTTCTGACATTAGTAATTTGTTTAATTCTCTGTTTTTTGACAGTTTTACTTGGGAAAATATAGTGTGTGTGTGGCATATGTGTGTTTGTGCACAAATGATTATGTTGAAGAAATGGGTATACACTAAAAGTTAGCACTGGCCCGGAAGATTTCTTCTACAATGCTTCTTTCTCCCTCTAACGTGCAAATGTCAAGGGCAGTGGTGTTCCTAGATCACAGCAGTATTTTAAGGACTACCTTGGAAATGGTCCCATTTGTGCTCTTACTACATGGGCCCTGATTCTTGCTTTCCTTTGTGGTGATAATCAACCAGTGTTTTCAGCCTGGTTTATTATCTACTTTTCATTATTATTACTTTTTTTAGAGAAACACCATAATTTGCTTTTCTACAGAGTACGATTTTAATGTGTTAGAATGGGAATTTAAACTTCTTACTCTACATCTCCAACAATAAACAAAAATCTTTCGTGTATATTAGTATTCAGTCAAGCATTAAGGAAGCAATCATAATGTTTACACTAAAAGTAGTAATTATCAAGAAGATTCACAGTATATGAATCTCAAGGTATGCAATAATGAATAATCTTATGCAATGGTATACTTGACTATATTTCTGTATTTAGTATTTTTATGTAATTATTTTATTCATATATATGTGTGCATGTAGTATGGGTATGTATGCGCCATGGCATGTATGTGGGATTGAGGGGAAAACTTGTAGGAGTAGGTTCTCTCTTTCTATGTTATATATCCTGGAATTTGAACTCAGATAATTAGAGTTGGTTGAAGGCACCTTCATTCTATTAGCCGTCTCACTGAACCCAAACTCCCATATATTGAGGCTATGTAAGAGAAAACATGTATAACTAAGTGAGATTAATGATCATTCCCAAAGTTCTGTATGAAAGTAACAAAATCATTTTAAATAAGTGGGAAAAATAAATTTATTGCATTATGTTACAACATAAGTGCATATTCAAAGGAATGAGAGCAAATGTCAACCATAAAATTAATGAGCACACACAGAAGTCATTCTCGTGTTTTTTCATTTATGAGTAATTTTGCAATTAATTTGTGTACTGAAGTGTAAGTTATAGGTATGGACGCTCACAAAAGCTATTAGGCAGCATCTTAGACACAGCACTTTATAAAACAAAGCAAGCACATGAATAGGAATTCAGACAAGGAATGTTATGAGTGTTCTACATGCAGAGCTTATGAATTGTTGGGCAAACTGGATGTTATTGGTCAAACTACAAATCTGTAATTTTTATAATTTTAATTTGAAGAACTGAGAGTGACTAATAAAATACAATGCTGATCAAAAAGAAAAACATAAATAGGGTTCAATTAATTTTAATTATTTTTAGTTTTACAGATGATAGATATCTTACAATAATGTTTATTTTAGTTTTATATGAAGTTATTCAATGCTTTCAAATTTGATTGTTTTTCAAAATATACTTAAATACTCAGATTATTTCATTTTTGTGTTTTACTTACCTTTCAATTTATTCAACAATACATTATTTTTCATCTTCATGTTAAAAATGTACTCATATTAGCACTTTTTAGATTTACTGATGAAATAACATGTTCAACATATACAGAAACATTGACTATATTAGTGATGCAAAGTTTATTAAGTTCAATTAAAGTCAAAGATGCCCAATGTAGGAAAGCTCTATTGCACATGCAAATATGATGGTTGGTAAGTGCTCTACTCTACTTTTAAAAATGTTTTCATTGTGGGAAACATATTCAACACAATAGGAAGCACATTGGCCAATTTCGATGTCAGTCAGTAGTGTTATCAACATTTACAATATTTAACAATGTTTTTAGACCCTAAATAGTCATTCAATTTATGTAGCAATAATGCTAATTTCTCCCTCCCTTGTTCCTGATGAAGTCATCAAACTTTACTCACTGTGAATTCTTCTAATGCAGATATTTAATGTAAGAAAATTCATGTAATATCTGTCCTTTTGTATCTAGCTCATTCCAGTTACCAAAATGTAAGTTTAATTCACATTGAAGCATAAATAACAAATTTATTATATGTGTACACACCTGCACATATATATATATATATATATATATATATATGTTAGATTGTTTTAACCATTCATTTTTATGAACACACATTTTCCACTCTTTGACAATTTTAATTAAGTAAAAAAAGTGTGCACTGATGTTCAAGTATCATTTGATTTTCAGTTTTCAGTTCTTTGCATTTGTATTTAGATGTTGGGTCACAGTTTGTGTGATGATTTTTTTATCCTTCTTTCCTTTTTAAAAACTTATTTTTTGTAAACTGCTGCATTGATATCCACTACACCTACATTGTTTTACTTTCCACTAAGCAGTGTATGGGATTTCTTTCTTCACATTTATCATTTTCAATAAGTCTAAATTATAGTTACAAGATGTTAACCATGAGAGTACATTTGAAGATTTGATCCATGAGGTGATTTTTTTCATTGTAATGAGGTCAAAATGTGTACTTACAAAAACAAGATAGGTACAATGGCTTTACACAATGTTGGCATAGGGGTTCAACATCATACATGCTATCATTCACTGAAATGTTATGTGGTGATTGGATATATCCACTGAATATGATTTTCATTTCCAGCTATCCAGTGGTGTACTTACTGGACCTTGTAAAATTTTCAGGTGAACTGTCCACTCAATTTCTTTGAATCCCTTTTTAAAAATTGATAGTCTCTCTCTCCTTTTCCCTCTCCCTCTGCAATTTTTTTAATTGAGATGTTGTTTAGATATCTGTTACTGGATTTATACTTTTATAATTTTTACCATATTACGGAGTGTTTTCCCAAAGTGGTTTTTTTTTCAAAACTTTTTATTACACTCATTCGTGTAGGGTATGAGTATGTATGTAACAGCATGTGTGCTGAGGTCAAAGGAAATTTTGGAGTCAGTGTTTGCCTTTTAATGTGGGTTATGAAGCCTGAATTTGGTTTGCCAGGTTTTTCCTTTATTATACCCCATTTTTATATTATTCTTTGAGGAAGAAAAATCGATTATTATAAAGTCAGTATATGGTTCCTTTCTATTATTGCTTGTCAATTTAGTGTTAATTAAATAATTATTTTCTCCAACCCAATGAATGGCAGTTTTTTTTCTTTACAATTTTCCCACTTGATTTAAAGCAAGATTATACAGTGTGAAGTAGAGAAGAAACCCATTATTTTTTCTTTTGGCTGAGGAATCCAGTCATGTCAAGACCACGAGAATACACTGCTCATTTTTCTCTTACTGAACCATGCATCCTTACCAGAGTTCAATTGATCCTCCTTGATGGATTACTTCTGGCATGTCTTCTACTTTCCACTAGACCTCATGTTTGTCTTGTGAGAGTACCACAGTACTACAATTAATAGTGTGTAATCAGCTTGTGAAGAGAAACTGCAAATTCATGATTTTCTCCTCTTTCCCCTTTATCAATATTATTTTCAATATTTAGGAAATCTTGAAATTCAACACTCACTTGATGTTTGGCTTTTTCATTTCTGGTAAAAATGAATTCATGTTGGAATTTTTAAGAGATTCTAAGAAACTTGAGATTATGATGTTTAATATCAAGAAGTTAACAACACAATGACCTTCAATTCATGAACATGGAACATTTTCACAGTTGATTATCTCATGTCTACACTTATTTTCTTTCATTAAGTCTTGTTGTTTTTGGTATTTTCTGGACAATTCTATAATAAAATCTTTTTATCTGTAAATGGAGAATTTTACTCCTTTTTCTATTATGAGACCCTTTGATTTTCTTTTCTTTCCTTTCATTTTTTTTTTTTATAATTCTACTGCCTGAAAACAGCAGTAATAAAAATAAGCATCTATGTCCTTCTGTCTCTGTTGTTAGGAAAAAGTTCCTAGCATTTCATAACCAGTTTATATAATCTCTGGCTTATGCATAAATGGTTCTTATGTTAAGGAATGTCCTTTCGTTATTGTATTTCTGTTGTTAACATGAAAATGTGTTAGATTTACAAAATTCCTGTTTTTAGTGAAGTAAGTTGACCATGTATAATTTTTATTTTTACATGTGATGTAATGATTTAGTATATTGAGTTGATAGACTT